TTGTGTGTATAAATAACAACAAAGCCGTTAAATCTAAAAACATATAAGCTTGACCTATTTCTTTAATTGCATTCTCTTAAGTCTAAAAGTGTTTTATTAAATATTTTTGTGGTTATTTTACTTTGAACGTGGTAAAATACAATAACTAACTGAAAATATTTGTTTTACTGTTATATATTAGTCGTGGTTCTGACAAATTTTGTAAATAGAATTTGTTAAAAGTAGACACTGCATTTAATGACGAACAAGAATCTAAGTTATAAAATTTTCAAAATTGTATCACTGTTGTTAGGAATAGTATCATACATTTGAATCTCCCTCCATGTCTTGTTTTTGATAAAACTTTAGCCATACTGTTGCACATGCTGTTTGTTGGACCCAAGGGATATCGTTGTTTAGGCCAAGAGATATTTATGTATAGCATATGTACGTCTATCTGCAAACTAAATACTAAAAGCGAAACCTATTAACTAATGGCTTTCACAGTTCCAGTTATCAGAGCACTTAGTTAATATTAAAGTTAAATTAAACCAATGTAGTATTCATAGTACTCAACGTGTATATTTTTTCTCCAATGTACGAATATTATGTTTGGGACCAGACAGCTAAATGTGCAATTTTTTTTGAACAAAATATCATTAAAATTAATGGTGGACTTCAAGTAGTGTTGATTTTAATTTGCTTTTAATAAACATTGAATCAACTTAAATAATTAAATATAAAAAATATATTTTGGTTTATTGTGCGAGTTTAAATTTTAATTCGACCAACTTACGTAAATTTAAAAACTACTATCAACGATAACGGAATGTTTAAATAAATTATTGAAAAGTATTTTTAGCATTCATTTGAGAAGCTATCAACTGTTTTTTAATAACTATACATCTCTTAAGAAATTTAAATTAATTAAATTTAAAAAACGTAATATTTCTAATTATAATTATATATTAAAATTGATTATTTTATCTTTGCAAATTACAGTCTTGTTAAAGTATTCGAATATTTGTATTTAAATATTAGTATTTTAATAATTTTTTATTATTCTGAAAAATGTATCTTGAGTATTTTTTTTAATAGTTTTTAGTTCTATTTGTGCTTGAAATGCTAAAGACTTCATATTTGATATCATTATTTTCCAGTAATTCATAATTATTGATAAGATAAAAAAATCAATATACTTTAGTAATGAAAAGTATTTTTAATTTAACTCAAAATTTTATTATTGAGACAGACGTGGATACTATAAAAAGTTTTAAGAGGACTATATTACTACTTCTGCTAGCATGAGATATTTTTTCAAACATTATTTCATAAGTTATTGACTAAAAAATAATGTTTCATGATAAATTTAATGATAATTATCATTGAAGTTGCCAATTGTAGAGATAAAACTGTTTTTATTCCCTTCTTGTTACGAATCTGCACTGAAATAGAATGAATAAAACTTCTTTTTGAAAATCTAATATAGAATTATATTTTTAATGACTATTTTCGAATAAGAATAATTTGATTTTTTGATGGATGGTACTTGTTTTTTAATATATTTAATCATATACTTTTAATACTCTGTGCTCGAAGAACTTGAATACGTTTATATTAATCCAATTATATTATGAAAGTATTTTTATGTTATATTATACATTATGGAGATCACAAGAACAAATGTTACTTTTAAAAAAAGATAAGACAAATACAGTTGTTTTATTATAACAGAGTTATTTTTGTGATTTTCACTAATTAATTCTCTTAAAAAGTTAATAAAAATTTAAGTGGTTTAAAATAAGAGTATTTAAAAAAATATTTAAATACATATTCCAATTATATTTTAAAAGTATTTTTAAAATTACTAGCAAACAGTTAACAACTATAAATAATATTTGTCGATTCTATTTTAATGTAAACCTATTGCAGTTTGAAATTGTACAAAAAAAGTATGTTGTTTATTAACTAATATAGTACGAGTATTATTGGAGCATTATTCAGTGTAAAATTTGTTATTCAGTGATCAAAAGAAGTGTAAGCTAATCTCGAAATGTTTTGCACGAGGGTCCGTCAATGGTTAAAATGTTAAAAAAAGGGATGTTCTCTTGTAAACAAATGCCTAAAAGTCAATCAAACAAACGACCGAGGGGAATATCGGAAGAAATAATAAACAACGTACCCTGTTTATTTATTTACATGTAGTGCGTGTGAACAAATAAGTAAATTGGTTTCTTTTTAAATTATTAATTGTTTTTTTTGCGTGAGCGATTTGAACATGTAAAGTTTAATTTATTATATGTACGGTATCCATTTTGCGCTAGCAAAATAACTAAACTTTGTATAATTTATACAGATTCTCAAGAGATATTCAGTGTTAAAAACTTCTAAAATAAGTGTACTTATAAGTAAAATAATATCATTTGATGTATTCATTATCCAGTTACAGTTTTTAAAAGCCCACTATGATTTATATTGAATATTCTAACCTTTAATGGCATTTATATGTACGCGCAAGTATTGTTTAATAAAACTAGTGCATCAGAATTGCTGAGTTTAAATTTAGANGTTTAATAAAACTAGTGCATCAGAATTGCTGAGTTTAGATTTAGGGCGAATAAGTGTTGGAGAATTGGAAAATAAATTCACTCCACTTATAAAATATTTCATTTTTTAACAAACATTTTTAATCCTACATGTGACTGCAGCGTAGTTATACAGTAAATTATTAATATTCCTCGGGGGCATTTTGTAGATTGCTTATCTTAGATTCCGATAACATTATAAAGCTTAATCGACGTCAACGGTTATCATGGGTGCCTAGAGGGTGACATTTATGAGGGCGATATCGTCATCTTGATTTTACGGCGCAACAAGGACGATTTAATTGCTGCTGACCGTGGGGTATACTATACATTAGTTAACTATACTGAAACTATTGCTATGCTTGTTCTTCAAATGTAGTACACATAAAAAGTAAAACAACCAGGGCGATAATCTCCTGCAAATCTCATTGCGGAGAAAAGAAAAAGGGAGAAGTGTACTCGGTTATTTTTTTTTTTTTGTTTCCCCCTCGAAGGATAAAAACCAAATCCAGTTTTTTGCGAGCATTGGACTTTCATTTTCTACCCTCCAAAGCGATCGCCCGTTCCCTGTTCTCGTTATCATCTTCAGCAGCTTTGTTTTTCATTACGGATCGACCAACCGGCTCTAAGCGGATTTATTACCCGGAGCCAAGAAGTACGCGGCGGCGAAGAAACGAGAAAAAAAGAAAGAAACAAGAACTTTCGGATATCCGTTTGTGAATATACCCAGTAATCTTATTAGTGACTATATATTTCGTTATCCAAAGGAATTAATCGCTTTTGGCCATTGTGCTCAAATAATAATAACGCTGATGTTGTTACACATATAATATTGTATACATTATAAATCATATTATAAAAGTATAATTCCTCATAATATAATCTTTGTCGAGCGTGTGTACTACGCAATACCAACTCCAATGCTTAAAACGGCCATCAATTTTTCGACAAAATACTTGTGTTTTTATTATGTTAAAATGTAAATGTTTATTTTAAGCAATCCAGTTTTATTTTAATTACAAAATAGATCTGTTTGCATTTTTATTGTGCTCTATGAATTATTCAGCTATGACTATTGCCCATTTATCCATTTCTCCTCGTTATCATTACTGTATCAAATTTCAAATACGAATGGTATTTGATGATCGCATTACTTCCGTAATAAGGAAGTCTTATCGGATTAAGTACAATATAACCGCACAAGTGTCACGATATCTGTTTATAACAACACAGCGATTCATAATATATTTTATTAGTGCCTTTTTCGTACGCCCATTATTTTTTTAACACTTGTAACGCCCCCGTCATTGTCCCGCAATCTTGCAAGCTGATTTTATTTGCCAAAACTCTTTCTTTTTTTTATAGCCGTATATTCAACAGTTACTCCGTCACCGACGTTATCATGCTAATAATAAGTTTCCTCGCTACCACAAACTACATGATCACTAGGGGTAAACGTTATACAGTTGAGTAGTCTTATACTTCTGATAGTAGTGAGAAACTTACACAAGAGAAATGCCATCGGCTATAAACCGGCCGCTGTTTACGTATCCTTTCCTTTTGATCTGAAGAAAATCTATACAAGCTACACGAAAAGTCTAATAGAATTTATTTATACAGTTTATGTTGGCACCTCGTCAACAAATTTGTTGTAATGTTGTAAAAATTATAATCAGTAATTACCCATTGATGTATTCAGTCTAATTATTGTTTTAAGTACCCACTTTTGAATTATACATTTAAGTTTCGAATGGAATGGAACGAATGAATTAATTAAAATTTTTAATAATGTTTAATAATAATTTAATGAAATTGATTTATAAAAAAACTGTATTTCGCGAAACAGTTATTAACTTTCAAATTGTTTCTTTTTTTAGTAATTATATCAATTTATTTTCTCGCTAATTACAACTTAATTTACTTCAAAGGTTAAAGATTTTATTAAATAAATAAATACATTAATACATAAACAACTTTTTCCTTTTTAAGTTGTTCTCTTACTTAATGAAAAAAACTTTTCAGGAACTGTTTAGTATCTATTTTAATTATTCTATTGCTATAAATTTTTGGAAGAGAAAACAAGAAAGAGTGATCGCATCTACTGATATTACTTGAAAATTATAATGACTTTATCTCACTTTTCGAAACTAATTAAGCGCTTGACTTAATAGGAAGCTTGTTGAAAGTTTACAATAATACGTCGAGGATTCAGTGGGTCGATTGTATAGTATCCTCTCATACAAAATATTTTCTTATGAATAGGTAATAAAATAAGCTGCAGCTGCAGTTAAAAACAAAAAAACTTTTCTTTGTTCGTGTCTATTTCTATTTGTTCTTCTAAAATATATAAGATGGGAAATTGCCGTAACAAAATGACTCGTACAACTTTTATTCAATCGAGTATTACTACTTATAGCGAAAAAAACTTTAACTTACCTCGCGTTTTGCGGTCCCACCGACTTCACTTCGTAGGAAGAACTGGCAGTTATCTTGTGATCTGGGATTTTGCTGCCTTCCATACCCAGTGCCGAACGACATTCTCCTGAAAACAGTTAACTAAATTAATTTTGGGAATGTTAGTCATAATTGTAAGTTTTCAACTTTTCTAAACAACGAGCATTAGTATACGCTTTGTGGTTTTAAAATTTTATTTGAAAGTTTTTTTCTTAGCTGATATCATCTAAAATTGAATAATTGTATTCAAAATGTCTTAACATAATTACAAAATATGACAACAAGTTTATATAATCAACTAAAACAAAAGCATATATTGTTTGCCTTCGTTATGAAATCGTGCATTTTTTACTGTAGAATATGAATGTGAACTTATGTGAAAAGTTGGTGGTTATCTATGTGTGTGTTTCGATCCTTAACTGTTCTTCTACAAATTCACATCTCGAAAAGTACACTTTGAAAAGAGCTATTAAGCCCGTTGACCTTTTAATTGTCCCTTCACAACAAAAAACCTATTCCACGACACCTCAGAGACTTGCTAGCATGTGCGAACACATACCGTTTTTGAGAAGACTTTCCTTTGTGTATACGAAACGTTAAAAACAAAAACCGTAAAAAAACTTTGCTTAGACTCTTGAATAGATAGCGACCCTTTTTAAAGTTTCCTTGAGTTCGTAGAATATGGATTTAATATTTACCTAACGGCAATGTACTGTTCGCCCACAGTTTCAGCGTTTTGGATGAATATAACACACTTATACTCTATAGGAAATGATCCGAACATTTCCATACATTCGTATGATATTTTTGATATACACGTTAATTTTACAAAAAATTACATTTTGATATAAAATATCGAAAATTTTTATACAAATAACTTCCAAAATATGTATATGAAAATTCGGATATTTTATTCAAGAGCGAATGTTTCATTGTTCATTGATATAATTTCAAAGCAGTAACGTAATTGGAATTTATGTATGGGGGTCCACATAGGCTTATAGGATGTAGTTTTAGAGAGATATTAACCCTTCTACTACCCCCACTATTGTAATATTATGTTCGTGGAGGATTTGAACCACTTTTTGTTGCACCGCTATTTCAAAGTATGAGTGCACATCGGTATAATAACTAGAATAAAAACCAACACATTTTCAATGAAAAATTTGTATTCACGGGATGTATAGTCAATGTTACACTAATGAGATGTTTTTAATTTCTTTTGTCACTATTCTCACAGCCGGTGCATCCTAAACGTAGTGGTTGGTTATACGATTACTGAAAACTCACTGGACTATAATAACACAATATAGTATGTATATTACTGATCAGTTTTATTAAATCTCATGCTTACTCGATTATCAAAAGATTTGATACTAATGTTAGTTCTGCGACTTTTTTTTTTTATTGATAATCGTAATAACAAATATATTCTGTTTTGTGTGATATTATTGAATTACAGTAAACACCGTCAAATTTATTTTTATATATTTTTTCAACTCCCAAGTCCTTAAAAAAGATTTTTTTATTCGAGCGTTCAAAATATAAAATAATCTCCGAATCAAAGTTGGAAATTAATTTGAAAATGAAATTTACTAACTTTTTTTAGTAAAACTTATTTTGTAAATGTCGAATAAAAACTACTGTACCCATTTGTTAATAATTCACTTCTTTGGGCGTTTTAATACAAAATAAAAAAAAACATTAAATTCTGAAATAATTGTTTTAGATGATGATTATTATGAGTCTATTTTACGTTATATGACGAGACACGTAAAAAAATAACGAATACTTTTACTGCGTGGAAAGGCGCATTATAATGGTCGTATATAATACACGTTACTGTAATATTGTATTTTTAAAATAATAATGTCTGTAATAAATGTTTCAAAGCAATGTGTACATTAGATCAGTTCTTTAACATGAAATCTTTAAATTCATTAAACACAACCCCTAGAATTGTTCCATTAGGTAAAAAATAATTTCTATAAAATTTGGTTGAAATTGAGTGACAGTAACACGAATCGTTGAAAACTCGACTTCAAAGGGGTTTTTTATTTTCATCACTTATCTTACAAGTAATTTATATAATAAATTATGGAAATTAATTTACAGAACTAAGTGTTATTCGTAAAAATACTAGTATCAAAAAAACCGTCTCGATAATACTTGGGCATAAAAATTAAAAAACAACGTTTTTATTATTTACAATAACCGTTGAAATTAATTGTGTTCGTTTATTTAAATATTGCACACGAACTATATGTCATACAGAAAAAAATTTTCATATAGAATTTGTTTAGAATTTAATATTTTATTATTTTTTTTATGCAACGTAATTCAAATAATGATGGATATAACGTAAGTTTAGAGTTTAAAACTTCACATTTTTTTAGAACTACTATCCACATTATTAATTGTAAAATACTGACAGTTGTCACAGTGTTGATATTAAATTGTTTTTAATTAATTTAAATAAAAAATTACTTTTTTCTGTTCTTTAATATATGAGTCAACTAATTTTAGTTTACACGTTTTTGATTTCATAACTTTTAAAGATGTATAAATTTTATAAATACAGAATAAGTTGCACTCCAAACTATAATACTTAAAAAAATGTCTACGTACAAATAAAAATTCCAAAGAAAAGGTATAATTTTAATTGAACACTAAGAGTGTAATCGATTTAATGTTGTATATGAATAAGGAAGTGAACAGTCTTTGAATAGCAGTACACATTTGTATGTAATGAGTTTATGGACATAAATTATATTATAATTTCATTAAACGTTATTTAAATATGAAAACGTTGAATTTGTTATATACTAATTAGTTTTAATTAAGTAAGAATTTTCAATACTCTTAACTGTGAGATGGTTTTTATTTATAATTAACATTTTTATTTATCAAATATTTTATGAAACTATTTATATTCAGAATAGGAAATTAATTTTCAGTTAAAACGCATGGTCGTTTAAAAGTCGATTAATATTATACTTTGTTCTCTAACAATTCATCAAATCGATGAACAGAGGAGGAATGTCATCAGTTTCAGTGTCAGCTGCACATAGACAGTTTACAAAATGTTATTGTGGCAAATTTAGCCGGAGTATAAAAGAGTTTATGCAAACACGATTATGAATACGAGTGATATAAGCTGACTTTATTACACAAAATAATAGCAGCAAAAAGAAAAACCTTATTTATTAATAATATTGAAGTATACACTAAAAGGATTTCGCAACTATGAATATGTTTTAAATTGTTCTTTTTTATTAACTTGATCAAAAACTGCAACACAGTTTTTGCTCTTTAACTTATTCATGAGCAATAGAATAAATAAATGATTTTTCCATTTGATACGTGCAGTTTTCATAAACAAACTCAAAATTAATTTAATTTTGAATGAACAGGACTTAGGTGAAGTTTAAAAGTTGTATTTACTATTCATAATACACAAGCCCCCAAATACGAGAGACCTCAACAATGGTCCCCGAGCGCTAAGCTTGAGGGTAACTTATTTCTCAAACACTTGACGTACAAACTATGATCATGTGCTCCAACCTTGTTTGACTGCACCTCATAGGCTCACAACAACGTTGCTCGTGGGTTGCTTTGCCACACCGATGCTTATAAATTTTACATAATATCATATACATTGAAACACTAGAGAATAAAACGGCAAGGAATACTTTACTGGAATTTTACTACTAGTAAACTGATGTTTGATGAATATTTATGAATTCGTGACCAGAACGATGAGCTCCCTTGGGATGTTTATTTGGAGAAAATGATTCGATAGTGTTACAATAGCAAAGCAGTCGACAATAATAAAATGCCTTAGATCGATTATGCTTTTGAATTTTATAACCTGAAAATATGTATACGAAATATTTAGCAGTACAAATAAAATGTACATAAGACTATATGTATATTATATATAATTCAATGCGAGTCATCCGATTTAAATTAAAAGCATAAAACATTTTAAACGTTTATTTTAAAATTACATTTAAATTAAATTCAATAAATGTTAGCCATTAGATAAAGGTTGAATAATTCTGGTCGAGTCGGGTCAAATAAATAGCATTGACACTGACAGAATATGATTTATTTGTTAGAAATTCAAATTAAATGAGTTCTACTCCACATACCCATGCACGAGTATGTTAAAAATGAATGAGAAAAAAGTTGATGCGCTAAAGCAAATAAATTTAATTACTCGGCAGAGTCAGCACTGATTCTGAAGAGTAAATTAAATAAGTTGAATTAGAGCGAATAAAAATCAGAAGGGATTTTTTTTTTAATGATCAACTTTTTCTGTCTGAAAGCGTCAGAAAAATGAAGTTAAAAGCATATATAGACAATGTATTAAAATTTGTTTGTAACATTCATAGATATATATATTTTCTCTGATTAAAGTTGTCATTTCATCACTTAAGTCTATTAATAAAAATATATATGAAATAATGCAATAATCAATATTTTCTCATTTATCGTTTTTTATTATTGTCAAAGGAATAACTCAACTTGCTATAAGAAATTATTTCACTGCTTCGCAGAGATACCAACGTTGACTGTTATTTTTCTTGGTGAATTGGCGAGCCAGAACTTGTTATCTCTGTGACTTTCACACTTTTGCAAGCAAGCTGTTTTCGCTACTGTTGGTATCTTGGTTGCTTTTACTTTGCAAATCGGCTATTGTTGTTTGGAAACACATTTTAGCAGTACCTTGTGGTAGGGAAAGGAAAGAAATTAATTTCGGTCCTCCGGGCGACTCATTCATGTCGTTCGTCTAACGACAGGGGTGAGTTTCTTTATTTTCGAAGAAGGTTTGAATTTTCAATTTTTGTACGCTTGGAACCCCTCGAAGGCACAAGTGCGCAGACGAAGTTTGATGTATTTTTTGAATACCCTATTACGTTGCAAACTGCGGTTAATGGCGAAACAATATTTGCTTAACGTATGTGCTGTGATGTCGTTATACGCGTTTAATAAGATCCTGGTTATCCAAACTAAGGGAGACGGTTTTCTCTAGCAGCATAAATCAAATTGGATCGCCCTCCATTGTTTTTTTCTTGTTACCTT